TCCTCAAGATTGTGGTCTTGCTAATTCCATGCACTTGCTTATGTGTCTGTTCCAATTACTATTCCACTGACAGTAAATTTCACATTATAACATTAGGTATTACCCAGAAGAGTTAATTCTGTGTGTTCAAACGCCAGAGCTAAAGAGAAAGACATGCTATTAAAAACATGATAAAATGTCCAAACCTGTAACGTGAAATAATGGGCCATGCTATATTTTATTATGGGTCTTTATTTAATAATAATTATTGTTCATAAATATTTCCATAGTGCCTGCAATGAGATTCTCAGTAATTAACTTGAAATACCATAAAACCCCTCCTTCTCCATTGGATTTTCAAACGTGTGGCTTTGCAGATGCTTCCATTTGGAAGCAAACAGAGCCTGAGACTGAGAATGGAAGTGGCAGTGGGGACTCAGCAACTCTGGATCCTGTTTCCAGCCCAGCCATGCTACACATAAGCAGCAGGGTGTGTGGCCAAGCAAATTACCAGGATTCCTATCCCGAAGCCTTCAGTGAGCGCCTAACTCACAGCGATGCTGTGAGCATCAGTGACCTTGCAGTGTGTCTGGAGGGCAGCAGCCTGAGCCGAGCCCACGCAGAGCATTCATGGTTTGTTTAACAGGTGAGTTACTTCACAGCCCTACTAAGATTTTTTTCTTTTTCCTAAGACATCAAAGTGCATTGGTAGAAATACGTCTGAGGTCCAAAGGTCAAAATGTATCTGCTTGCATCCATAAATTTATAATTTATGAGAAAGTTGCTCCTAGGTGCCTAACTGCCAGTAACTGATAGGCTTATGAACATATGGAGGGAACGGAGAGAGATGTGTTAGTGAAGATTTCAGACATGTCTGTGCTGCCTTGTGTGGACTGCCATAGAGAAGAAATAGGAGTGTATTCTTAATGAGAGAGATAAGTCCTCAGCAATTATATTGAGACTTTTCTAAATATCTAAACAGTCAATCGCCCATGGAAGTAGGAGCAGGCAAATTGGTGGCTTGATAGTATGGAAGAACCCCCTTATAACTGTCAGGAACCGAATCATTAATAATGTAGGAATCAATTTCTGCTCCTCCTCTCTGCTCCATCAGCAATATTGTAGCAGAGAAGAATTGAGAAAGAGGGAAGCCAGTAGCTGAAACTTGATTTCTTAAGATGCAAATTAATTTTTTTTTCTCAAGTTAAACTTAACAGTACTGTGACCCAAATTGCCCAGCCTTTTTTGAACAAGAAAGCACAGTGGGCAAAGTTCTCCAGGCACAGAAGTACAAAAGTGAAGAGTAAAGTCAGGAAAAATAAAAAACTGTTAGAAAATAAAAGAAACTTCTTGACTATGAAGGCCCAAGCATGATCTTCCTTTCTAAGATTTTCAAAGTATGATATCTTTGAAGTCACTAACTTTTAAGAATCAGCAACAGAATAACATTCTATTTATGTTATTTCTATATAATTAAGGCAAACCTGCAAAAGAAAAACTTAATGAAAAGGTAAAATTCAGTGTGTATGAGTAGGAGACAGCAAACAACATTCTAGAAATGAATGTTCCCCTGTGTGTGTATTCAGTCTTTTCTAAAATACAAATGTTAAAATAAATAACAAGCATTCCCGACAAAGATATGCACTTGTCATCTCAGGTCAATTTAAGAAATACATAATCCTGCTGATAGGTTAGAAGGTGTCTTTCTCTTGTGGTATTTCAGTTTTGCAGAACTAAACGTCTAGTGGCCTTCACTGTGTATTTTCACATTTCACTTCAACCTAAATAAATCTCCTGGATATGTTAATATTTTCTGTTGTGACAAACAAAATATTCTTGTAATCATAGAATCATAGAATCATAAAATGCTTAAGGTTGGAAGGGACCTCTAGAGGTCATCTAGTCCAACCCCCCTGCACACACAGGGTCACCTAGAGCACGTGGCACAGGACTGCGTCCAAGCGGGTTTGGAAGATCTCCAGAGAAGGAGATTCCACAACCTCTCTGGGCAGCCTGTTCCAGTGCTCTGTCACCCTCACTGTTAAAAAAATTTTCCTTAAGTTCCCGTGGAACTTCTGGTGCTTCAGTTTGTGGCCATTACCTCTAGTTCTGTTGGTGGCCACCACTGAAAAGAGGCCAGCACCATCCTCCTCACTGCCTCCCTTGAGGTACTTATAGACACTGATCAGATCCCCTCTCAGCCTTCTCTTCTCCAGGCTGAACAGGCCCAGCTCCCTCAGCCTCTCCTCATAGGGCAGATGTTCCAGGCCCCTGATCATCCTTGTGGCCCTGCGCTGGAATCTCTCCAGCAGCTCCACATCCCTCTTGTACTGTGCAGCCCAGAACTGGACACAATACTCCAGATGCGGCCTCACCAGGGCTGAGTAGAGGGGCAGGATCACCTCCCTCGACCTGCTAGAGATGCTCTTCTTAATGCAGCCCAGGATCCCATTGGCCTTCTTGGCCACGAGGGCACACTGCTGCCTCATGGTCAACTTGTCGTCCACCATGACACCCAGGTCTTTCTCCCCAGAGCTGCTCTACAGAAGGTCAGTCCCCAGCCTGTACTGGTGTAATGTTTTAACTTAAGCAACTGGAGCTATATTCAAAGCCTTAATTTCAGTTTAACACAGCTGTTTGACAGTACTGGTATTACATTTACGTATCATATTTGAGAACATCTGGCAGAGACACTCACACTCCTAATTCACTACAGGTGTTCTACAGGTTCTACACCTGTAGAAAATAGTTCCAAAACAGCAGGCAGTTCTTGTGCCTATTTTGTATCCACTTTATGGAGATGAGTGGTGAAGAAAAGAAGTGAAAAATCAGGTCATACAACTTCAATTTAAATGTGTCAATTAGCCTAAAGCCTTAGTTTACTTGTGATTGCTAAGGCATTAGAATCTCTGACTGTTGTTTTGCTCCTTCCTGTCGACATGTTTCATTATACATTCTCCAGATGCTTCCCTGCGCCTATTCCAATCAGTCTTCAAGCTTAATTATCATAAATCAGAAATGAGACTGATTGCTGATGTTGATTCCAACGTCCTTGGTGAAAAAAAAACACAATTTTCGCGCTGCTAAAGTGTGAGCATCTCAGAATGTACAGGAATGGGAGCAGATAGCCTGCTTTTCTTAAAACTGTATCACCAGGAGGTGGAACCTGCTATACATGCTTGAGAGAAATCCAAAGGACTTCAAATCACATGAGGAAGTTAACTTTGGAAGCTAAAATGCAAAATTGTCAGTCTTGAGAACCTCATCTTGGTTTCTTTTACTAAGATGCTGACTTCAGGAGAGCTATATCAGATTTACTGAGACCTAACTAAGAACAGAATCAGGATCCGATAACTATCCACCACAGATCAATTAAAAAATATCAGTATTAAGACTGAGGACCGATTAACAAGGTGAGAACTAGCCCTTTCTCTGTACTTTGTAGGACTTGGGAGTGGTGTGTGCAACGGGGAGACCTTTGTAACGTGCCACCCAGCCCCGCCCCCAGGACCTTTGCTTGATTACATCTGTGTTTAGCTTTAAGGTTTCAATCTTTAGTATTACTGAGATGTAGCATCAGCTATAGACCCGACTGTTCTGTGCGGCAGCACAGCACCGTTTCAGGTGACACGTACAGGGAATCCCAGCTCCTCGGCTGCAGCATGGCCAACACAGACCACCTGATGCTGCAGCTTACTCAGCAGTGCTGCAGGCCCAAGCACATCCTGTCACCTTAGGAGTTTGCTTTGACACACTACGAGGTTTCGTTGAAACGAGACGCCCTTGGGCTAAGCTCCAGGAGGGCAAAACGGGCCAGTTTTTGTCCTACCCGTCGCCATTAGGCCCGTGACGTTGCCAGGTGAAGCCAGCGGCGTGACGTCATCAGGCGCCCGCTAGGGGTGGGCGGAGGAAGGGGGGTGACGCAGGCCTACGTTTCCCGGCGGCCCGTGCGGCCCCGGCGGAAGCGACGCGGGGCGGTGCTGGAGGAGCGC